TCTCCCTCGGCAAGAGCGTCTAAATCGAGTGCCCAGGTTACAGAGGCAGCCGCCTTTCCCCTCAGCTCTCCAAGGAGATTACTGAGATGGTTTTGAATTTTGCCAAGGAGGAAATCTATGTGAGGCCTGAAATCGTGGAGGCTGTTTCCCTGCTGGAGACCATGTTGGGTGGCCCCGAGTACGTGAAAAGCCACATGCTTTTGCCCCACACCAGATCGAGTGATCTGGAGGTCCGTTTGGCTCTGGATGGACATCCCATCCCCTTCAACTTCAAAGGTGCTGCTGCACATAAGCAACTCAGAGACATCGGGGTTGATCTAACAGATGATTTACTGACTCAGCTTATAAAGGGCAGACCTGGGAGCCAGGCTTCTGCAGAAGTGGGAGACAAAGGCAAGGCTGGCAGTCAGGAGAGGGTGGAAGCGGCTCGGGCTCAGAGCTCGATCAGAGCTTCCAACCTGGGTGCTGGGTTGAAAGTTTTGCCTAAATCACAGCGGTCTCTTGAACCCCCCTTTCCTCCTGCATCTGCTGGGCAGCCTCGAGAGGTGAAACTTGCTCTTCAGGTGTCCAACCGCAACCACTACTGCTACTGCTCCAAGCGGCTCCTGGGGCTGCACAGCCTGAAGCGGCGGCAGTTGCGGCAGCTGGGCTACGTGGTGGTCGAGCTGCCCTTCTGGGAGTGGTTTCCCCTGCTCAGGCGCACGCGCTCGGAGAAGCTGAGCTACCTCCACTACAAAGTGTTCAACCCGGCGCTGCTCGGGGCAGCAAATCCATGAGCGGCACCCAGCGTCGCGGCGTTCGGGACACCTCGGGATATGACACTGGGTTTTAGCCATGTTTCGGGCAGGGTTGTGTGCGCTGAGGCTGCCCTGGCATGTGGGCTAGTTCTCTCCTGCTTTGCTCGTGGGCTCCTGTCTTGTGCTGCCCTTTGTTCCATAGATCCTCAAATGTTTCCATTACAAATAAAACCAACCGACGTGTGTGTTTTTCTCCATAGTTACTGTTTTTCCTTCCCCCTAAATGAAAGCGGGTGCGTTTGGTGGCTAGGTGCTTGGGAACAGAACAGTGTCAGAGCTGCAGTGATAGGTAGGGAGGAATTGGGATGGTTTTTGGCCATGATGAGTGTGCACATATCTGTTTCCCTAGCGTTGCTGGTTTGGGGTGAGCAGGTGGGGGAACAGTCAAAGTTTCTCTGGATCTGGATATAAACAGGCATGAAAACTGAGCAGCGAGAGGGTTGGGATGCTCTGACCCCGACATGTTCGTTTCATTTTCGGTTCTCAGCAGTGGCTGGCAGCGAGAATTTACCTCCCGTAATGCTCCTGCTGCTGCATCTGTTGCTGGAAAAGATGAATTGGGCCTGCAGATCCAACTGGAGGCAATTCCTCTGCCGGGGTGACGATGCCTGTTGCATTCTCGCTGTGCGGAGCATCTGCTCTGGAGGCTGCGAGTTTCACCTTCTGCCACGTTGCTCATTGTGTTATTTTCTTGCTCAGGAGGTGGCCCGGTGTCTTATTTCTGCATCATGTTCTGAAGACAGAGTTGCTGGCTGCTTCCTGAGCCTCCAGACGGCATCTATCTCTGAGGTGAGGGTGATTCCCAGGGTGCACAGGGAAGTGCATCTGACCAAAGCTGCAAGAATTATTTCATCTGGAGCAGCAGGAGACGCTCCCGTTTCGTCTGCAAAAGCAGCCAGATCTTTCTGACCATTTTGCAGTACGACATTTTGAAGTAGAGGGTGGGAAAGGCAAGTGGCTGTAGCCTTGCTGCTGTCCCACACCAGGTTGTGAGCTTATTTGGCTGCCTGATTTAAAATGACCAGAATGTTTTTATTTTATTCCGCTCCCTCAAATACTAGGTAACACCAAGCCTCATATTTCAATGACCGCTGTGCATGCGCTGCACTGCTGGAGCTCCTTGTTTGTCTGCAGGACACCAGGAAGAGGCGCTGAGTGGCTCATTACAGAAAATACTGTTTTAAATGAGATCACAGAGGAGCTTGGGGTGGCAAAAAGGACAGTCCCGCAGGTCTGAATTTGCCTCTCTTAGGTGACAGTCTAATGGTGCTTTGTAATCTTGGCATCCTCATTGTTCTGCTCTAAACTGATCCTTAGTCTGGGCTGGATTGTCATGCAGAGAGTGAGCAAGCCCAGCCCTGGTAAAGGCAGCCCGCACCAACCCAGGATCCCTGCTGGGAAGCAGGAGCGTAGCTGAGCTTCCCGAAAGAAGGGTCACCAGTGACGTGAACGTGCAGAGTAATGCATTTTCTTACTGAAATGCTCACCCAAAATTGCTGTTAAGATTTATTAAGTTATTTAAATTATCAGGGGTACAAACAGGTCGGAAAGGGTCCTAAAATATATGCATATATGTAGCTGTACATACATAGCTCAATATACATTTGGATAGCTTTGAATATGCATTGAAAGACAACAAATTTAGTAAGGAAATAAGTTCCTGGGTTAACCAAAACTAGTTGCCAGAGGATACTAAGAGCTTGGTAAAACAAGATGGAAATTTAGGACATAAGCTCAGTAACAGCCTGGGGCTAGGAAGAAGCTTTCCTTCCTGACTGGGTCATACAAGGGAAGGGAAGAGCAGTGGTTCCCCATCTTTCACAAAACCAGAGCTCAGAGGACTAAATCCACCAGGCAGCAGGTCCAGAATGATCCAAAAGGAATGTTTTTTGTCATGCAACCTATTATTAATTTGGACATCTTTACCGCCATAAGAAGTGCGTGCCAAAAATTAGACTAGTTCAAGAATCTATTTGAAAAAATCTGCCCTGACAACGCTGCACCAGCAGTTTCTCCTCCTCTTCCTCAGTTGTTCCCCACTCAGGAGTGGGAATTGCTCTTGTTCTCTGTGTTACCAAAAATGGGGCTAGAAGGGGCTGTGCTTTTTGGTCAGGTAAAGCAGGTTTGGCCAAGAGGCCTCACTTCATTGCAGTCTCTGTTCCCACGGCCAAACTGAAGTGTCCCCAAAAGGCCCATTTCATTTCGACTGAACTAACACCCTCAGTAGAAAATCATTCAAAGGGTTACTTGTTCTTGAAAGAAGCAGCAGGTTCCTGATTTGTAAGGCTGCCCAAGGCGATGACGTATCTAAATTAAGGTTAACATAAGGTTAAAATTCTCACCTTACAGATAATTTCCTTCTTAAAAGGCATCTGTTACAACCAATTTGAGCCACATTCTTTGAATGCAAAAGGCAGTGCGTTCACTTGAGTTTCAGTAATGAACTGTCAGAAGAACCAACTGGGTCCGTGTTCAGACACAGATAAGCTGTCTTAGAGCTATTAAATGCCCTTTGCTCCCTTGGAGCTATTAAATGCTAATCATTGATAATAGTATTTAATCTTAGCTTTCATCCGAGCCTCCCGGAGCCCTTGACTTGCTAAATCTGCGGAGTTAGTGCCGATTCCTCATCCCAGGAGGCCCTGTCCGAGCTCAGCACCCTCGCGCTTGGGTGACGTCCAAGGCCTCCAGCTGCTGAGGGAGCAGATAGACAAGTCTTAATTACTGGCGAATCCATAAGCAAGAAGTTTTGGGCAAAAAGAGCCATTTCCAGACTCTTCTTCTCTGATGTTTCTCCAGGGATTCCCTTGTGAATGCTGCTGTGGGGATTTCTCTTAATCCCATTTCCTCACCATAGGTTTGAGGTTTCTCACGCACTGATTTCACCTCCCAGACTCTGAGCTTAGCTGCATTTTCAGACCCACCAAACTTGTAGTTCACCCTGGCTCTGTAACACGAGGCCCTTTCAGTGTGTGCTGCTGTTCACTTCTTTTTATTTTGCTCTTTCTTTACAGGCTGAATCCGATGCTCAGAAAGTGAGCTCTCTCCAGCTGCAAAGATGGTAATAAATGTCTGTCTCCCACAGTTCAAGCCACGAATTCACTGCAACAAGGTAAAATAATAACAGGGGATGTTTTGAGAGCTGGAGGGATGGCGGGGTTAGGTGGAGGTGTTGTGCAGGACTCGTCGGGGCTGAGGAGGGCTGGTTTGCTGGATGCAGAGATCCAGTATCTGGGGTGTTCAGGATCTGCCTGCCGCTTGCGTGGAGATAAAATGGAGCTGAAAATATATTGCAAAATCAGTATTCAGTGTTAGAACACTGCAGGTGTTCTAA